GACGGACAGACAGACGGACGGACGGACTCGGAGAGTCCATTTAGCAGAGCTATCATGGGGCCAAAGGTAGCGCCCAGCCCCCATCCGGCTTGTGGATAATGGGCCACAAAGTCTGAGGCTAGGTTGCACTCTAGGCATAAAATATTCATTCCAGTCGACATAATACATATGTAGGAAAGTCATGGAAGCTCCTGGGAGAAGAGAAAGGCCAGCCAGGGGGCTAAGTGTGCAATGTGAAAGAGTTCACAGCGGCATCGGTTAGTCCTGGTCAAATGCCCACTGAGAACTGGGCTGTTTTGTCCAAAGGGGAAAAGTGTCTCGTCAGAGAAGTTTTTGATTTCCAAGAGATCTAACCATGCAAATCTCTCAGGCAGACAATTCTTGATTTTTTTTCTATCTTATGGGCATCAATTAAGATGGACAGTGAAGGGCAGCCTGGATGGTTCAGCAGTTTAGTGCCGCCTTCAACCCAGGGTGTGATCCTGGAGACCGGGGGTCGAGTCCCACATCAGGCTCCCTGCATGGAGCCTGCTTCTCCCTTTGCCTGTGTCTCTGCCTCTCTCTCTGTGTCTCTCATGAATAAATAAATAAAATCTTAAAAAAAAAAAAAAGACAGTGAAAAGAATCTCAGTCCCAATCTTTGGTCACCATATGAAAGATGGCAAGTCATTCCCTGTACAAACTTGATTTTAATCTAAAGCAGGCCAAGTTTCAACGACATCTTGTATCCATCTGTTTAGCTACTTCCCAAAGTCCACAGATTGGAGAGAAATTATTACAATTTACTAGGTGGTTAGCTGTGCTGGGTTCAAAGATTATGGTAGGAAGAGCAACTATGTGAACTCCAGACTCCTAAAGTCCTTCTTCTATCAAGGCCTCACTTTAATTTCTAGGGCCATGCAGGAAGTGAGAATGTATGGTCTGACACCCACCCAGACCTCTGACCGGAAGGTGACACCACCAAGGAGCCCTTGGCTAGAGTCAAAGGGTTGGAGTCTGTACCCAGAGCACAGTGCTGCACAGCTACCAGGACACAGAGGGAAATGAGAGCCAACCAAGCTCTCTATCAGAGTCGCCACTAAAACCAAATTACTCAATGCAACATTCAGCCAGAATCAACACTGGCATCCAAGGGATACGTGTTTGGAGCGGCTCAGCTGTTCTTTACAGGATTCTTTCTGTATGTTAGATTTGCTCACTTCAACCAGACTTCCACACTCTTCTTCCTAGAACCACCCAAAAGAATAAACAATGCCACTCACTCCCCAGAAGAATGATGGCAAACCCCACCCTTGCCCACTGCAGCAGAGTTGGGGCTGGTAGTGAAAGGCTCCTGCTTTTTCTCAGGAGCCCTCCCTGTGGTTCTGGAGACCCAGGGGTGGGGCAAGTCTGAAGCCAGCAGGTCCTCTACCAGGTATTACAGGAAGCTCTGGCCAGCAGCAGGAGAGCTCTGAAGTTGGACCCCTCTCCACACCCCTGCCTATTACTGCTGTCCCTGGCTAGAAGACAAACAGTCATCTTGCTGATTGCTTTCACCATAGCCAAGCTTCTAGGCCAGCAGAGCCATTTGGATAAGAAGTGGACAGAATGCTCAGCTCGCAGACTGAGAATCCCCAAAACTACCAGCCCCAGGTCATAACCCTCCTTCTGCAAGTGAAAGAGAAGTCTATGGCTGTGAAAAAGCATATCCACAACCAGGTGTCACAAAAATAATCTTAAAGACAGGCTTGACTTTTATTTCCCACTTTCACTGTCAGAAGCAGAGTTGACAGCAAACAGGCACTCTTCCTGCAACACAAGGTTTATTTTTATGCTTCCACATTTTCTGTGTGTGTGTGTGTGTGTGTGTGTGTGTGTGTGTGTTATGGGTGTTTAATTCAGATGTGATCAAAGAGCTCCTGGAAACAGCTTCTCATTAGCCACAGGTTTTAATAAAGAAAGGAGGCGAGGAAGAGCAAAAAGTGATTGGAGCTTGAAGACAACCAGAAGAGTTTATTTACCTATTTCCTGGTAAAACCAGTTTAAATCATTTAAACCTAAATAAAGTGATGGAGAATCTTTGGGGCGAAGGAATCAGCACAACCGAATCCCTTGCTTTTTATTTCGTAACATTACGGCTTACTGCAAAGGTTGCACTTCCGTGACTACTTTGACCAGAATCAAGAGCTTTCTTGCTCTTACCTGGTGGCATGATCTAGTCTAAAGGAGGCCACTGCTTCTGGCATCACTGGCCTGATGACCAGAAAGGCTGCTACTTATTTCTTGTTTTGAAAAATATAGGCATCTGCCTGTGGTAGGTGTAGCTGAGCTTTCCCAAAAGCTGTGCTTTTAGTGGGACGAGACTTAATATCAAGTGAGTAGCATGACTGGCTACCTTGAGAACACCAGAAGTGATGAAGTGGCTCAGGGGGACCTAAGTCCATGAAGAGTGCAAACAGGATGAGTAATTCATAATTTGTAACAGGATGACAAAGTATGCAGCCACTGCTCCAGACAAAGTTATCAAAGAGCAGCTTGCAGTCCCAAATGGTTCACCCCCCCCATCGCTGCTCTTATAAAATCAACGGGTCTGTACCGACTTCTTACTATGTACTCAGTGGTGTGCTAGGCATGTAGGAAAGAGGAAATCAATGCACACATTGCAAGAATGAGACCACGGTGAGAATACATTTACATTTAGTAAACAGCACAAAGAAACCACATTGAGGCAGTCTGTTACTCTACTTTGCTGAACACAATGCCCCCCGCAGCCTCGGCGGACGCCACTCCCCACATGCCTGAGGGTGCCAGTCAGTAGTCACTTGGCCTCCTCCTACCAGCTCATAATCAACAGTCTGGGAAAGTTCTCTGGTTAAGCAGGGTTTACCTGCTAATACAAAGGTGGTGATAGGAAAAGGAATGGAACAGGCCACCTCAGGAGGGCCTGGAAAAAGCGGTTCCCAGCAAGGAGAGAAACAGTGGCAAGTGAGGGCAAGACTAGGAGCTACAGACCATGCTCTGGTTTCCAAAGACTTCAGTCCCATGCAGAGCCAGTTGCAAAACCCGGTGATGGAACTTGAAATCCACCAGCCCTCCCTCTCAACTCCTTTTGCCTCCAGAAGCAAGCAATCCATCAGGAACAAAAGGGTCAAGCGTGGCAAACAAAAACTCCTCCGGAGTTCCTGATTGCCCAGGTGAAGTAGAGCCAGGGCAGGGGACACAAAAACGCAGGAAAACGCAACCATGGCAGAATGTCCAGGGAAGGATATGAACACGCAAGAGAAGAGAACAACAGTTCTACTGGGCTAAGAAGGAGTGAACGAGAGGAAAACATAAAGAATGTCACATAGGAGAGGATGCAGAAAGGTGCTGCAGCCCCAGGGGAGAAGAGCTCCTTTTTCAAGTCAAGTTTTTCTGGCCTAGTAAAGTTCTCCACCGACAAGGGTGTGCCAGGCAGGGGACTCTCCCCAGAGCAGGCAGCAGTCAGCAAGGGACGCGGTGAAAGAAAGAGGGGGGGTAGAAAGTGGATGCCTCTCAGCTCACAGGTGAGGTGACACAGAAAAAACGTTAAAGCTTGGGTGACAGATGATAGCAGTGATTGCCAGGAAGATGGGGGGGGGGGTGCGTTGCGGCGTGCAGCTCAAGAAACAAATATGCTGAGTGCCTGGACTAGGACTTAAAAACATAAGCCAGTCGGGAAGGAAGGGACAGGGGCATGTGTGGGGCAAAGACAGATGATGTGAAAAAGGCAAGAGGCGAATCCGGAGATGAAAGGCAACCCTGGTTAAGAGTAAAGACCAGGTGAGGGTAGAAAAACCAGAAAGCATCAAGCAGGGAGGAAGAAACTATGGAAAGTGACAGAACCAGGAGTGAAGACACAGGAGGGCATCATGGTTTGTGTTGCACTGTGAGGAAACAGAAAGGCAAGGATGGTGAGGGAGCGTGACCAGGGAAAGGATTCAGCAACAGGTTGTATTAATATGATAGAGCGGGGCTGGAAGGAAGAGTCCAGGGAGCAGGCTGGTAAAGCATTCAGTGAGAAACAGGAAGCCTGGAGACTAAAACCCAACCTGGAGAAAACAGAACTGGAGAGATCCAGACTCTGAAGGGAACCCTTCAGACTGGAACCCCAAAGACAACCTGTGGGAAAACTATGCGCATGACAGCAGTATGGGAAACACGGAAGCAACAAATGCCAGCGCGAGGCACCAGGGAGCTCCTGAAGAAGGGAAAGTGATGAGCAAAGAGTAGGAGAACCATTTGGAAAGGTGATGAGGGTGGAGCTGGTGGGTTGCAAGCACGAGGGAGAGCACGATTTGGAGAAGAGGGAAAAAAAAAAAAAAAAGGCTGGGGAACTGGAAGGGGATCGGGATCGAGAATACACTCCGGAGCAAGGACCCTGAGGGTGATAACCAAGGACTGGGAGAACCGGTGCGGGAAGAGGAGAAGCAGGGCTAGAGAGATGGAGGAAGAGGTGGACAACGATCTGGGGCAAATCGCGGGGTGCTATTCGAGGAGCAGGAGGGTGGCGACTTTAAGCGTGGGTGGAGGAAGACCAGAAAGGCCCCTGAGAGAAAAAGGGAAGAGAAGGGGAAGCTAGGGAGGTAACACGGAAGAGCGCAGGAGGGCGGTGAGGAGAGAGGGAGGTCAGCAGAAAAGACAAGTGTGCAGCTCGGAGTCAGGACGAGGTGGGTCCCAGGACAGGACTCAGAGGGGGATGTGCGAGGCCGAGAGCCAGATGACAGGGCAGCCAGGCTTGCAGGGTGGCAGCAGGGACACGAGTAGAGCAGAGGAGGGAGGAGGCTCTGCAAGGTGCAGGGGCCCAGCCAGAGAATTCGGGGAGCCCTCGGGGCTCCTTACCTGCTCCGTGTCCCTCTCGTTCAGCGTGGGTAGGGGGGTCCGGGCGCTGGACATGGCGCCGGTATCTCAGGGGAGGGAACCGAGAAGCTTGGAGGAAGGAAGGGAAGGGAAGGCGCGAAGCCCAGCCGGGCGGGGCTTCTCACAGCAGGGGCACCCGCCGCATGGGCCCCGGCCGGGGGTGCGGGGAGGCCGGGCAGCCGCTCACGCCAGCCCGGGGATGCGCCGCTCGGGCTAGGCCGCGCCGGCTCCGAGCGGCTCCGGACCGCACCCCCCCCGACCCCCGGCTGGGCTGTGCCGCCTTTCGGCCGGGCCGCGCCGCTCCGCCTACTCTCTGCCGCCGCAGCCGGCCGCCTGCCTCGCTCCTCCCCTGCCCTCAGCGGCACCGCTCCGCGCCCGGCACACAGGCAGCCGCCGCCGGACCTGCTGCTCCCAACATGGCCGCCACCACCGCCGGCCCTCGGCTCTTTCCGTCGGCAGCAGCCGGAAACAACCGAAGTGGAGAGGAACGGGAGGGGGGCGCGCCTCCTCCTCCCGGCCGCCGACTACGGGTGAATTCCGGAAACACCCGAAGAAGGTAACCCCTGGGGACGCGCGCGCCGCCTCGATTCCGAAGCCCAAGTTTCGGCTCTGTTTACGGAAATCCACGAAGCCACTCGGGAGACCACAGTCACGCCCATAGGCTTTTCCCCGCCCACTTATAGCAGCCTCGCTGCGGTTTCCGGAAATACCCGAAGTGGCTCCGCGTGCGGGGAGCCGGCCACGCCTCCGTCCCGCCCCGCAGCCGACCGCGGCCGTCGGCCATTTCCGGCAACACCCGAGACCCGGCGAGCCCGGAGTTGTTCCCTGGAGGAGTACCCAGAGCTTGACTCCTCGTTTCTTTCCGTCAGTTTCCGGGTATTTTCAAACCTTGAACAGGAAGCTTGGATCACCTGCGCACGTTATTATTCGACTAAATAGAAAATAAAGCTATTAGCCGAACCAACGATTGGCATCACTTGGTTCTAAAGCAACTTCCCCGTCTGCGTGTCAGTCTGTTGGCTCATAAAATCCATCTCGTTTTTCATCCAACATATCAACATGTGTGTCACCTGTCAAATGCAGCGTTAGTCTATTACCTGTCTAGCTAGGATTCTCCGCCTGCCATCACCTATCTGGCCTTCTACCTCTCCACACACCCCACATTTGGTCTGCAGTGTTCCTTAAGGTCTAGGCAGCGCCGGGTCAGCGGCCTGGGCCCCCGCGGTGGGAGGCTACAGGGGTCCCCTCAGCTCCCCGGCTCAGGGGAATGAAAATGCAATGTGATCTTGGAAGGATTACATAACATCTCCGAGTTTAGACTCCTTGACGTCCTTATATTAAGAGAATTCATGCCTTTTGTTCCAGTGATGACATTCTAAATAACGTCTTTGACTTCCACTTACCTTTTTTAAAATTGTTCAAAATAGCACAAAATGACATTGCACTATGGTAATACTGAGTCACGCCTGTTACCTTTTAAAATACCCTGTAAGGTAAGGCAGGGGAGACATTCTCATCTTAAGTCATTTTTCATTTATCCCTTTTAAGACAAGAAAACTCACAGAAAAGAGACACTGGTTGGAAATGAGGGTTCCTCAGGACGGCACAAAGAATGGACACTAGGGGAAGTTCCCTTCCTTTCCTCGGCTACAGTTTCATCAGTAAACTGAGGACCCTCTCATTTTTTGAGAGACCCCCAACTCCAACAGGGAGTCCATGTGGCAACCTGAGTCCACTCTTCATTTCCCCCTAGACTGTTTCACCAGGGAGAAGCAGTAGGCCGGTTTCATGCCTCCCACTCCAAGCTGCCTCCACGCACTGTGGACATGTGTGGAACTTGCCCCACCCCCACCCCGGGGCTCAAGGTGGACAGAAGCCAGAGGCCCCACCTGAGCCAGCCACTGGGCTCAAGCAACAAGTCCCCAAAGGTACAAGAGCAGAGAGGCCCCTGAAATTGTGGGGAGAAAGTGCTGGATGGACCTCGGACACTTGACTTTCAACTCCCATCTTGGGCAGAGCCCTTGGCCAAGTTACCCAGAGAAATAGGCAGCTGGACAGATGCGAGGAGAGGATGTTATGAAAGCAATTCCTAAGGCAACAGGTGCTGCTTATGGTACTGCAGGGCACCTCCCCATAGCCCATCCTGGTCCAGTCAGGCGCTCAGCCATTGAGGAAGAAGTTGATGAAGGAGCACAGGAGGAGGTGAAGGGAAAAGAGAGGAAGAGGTATGGACAGAGGATAGTCTACTCCCCCCACCCCAAATTCATCGGGAAAATCCATGAGAGTGACCTGCCCTCTGGTGGCCAAAGGGAGACACACTGCTGATTCCCCATACCATCCCAAGGCTTGGGTCTGGAAAGAAATAAAAGAAGGGAAATGGGTTTAGGAGCAAAGGAAGGTGCACCTGAGAGTCTTTCCTGGCCATGTTCTTGTCTAAGCAAACCCTACCTTCTCCATGCTTCTAACTCACTCCAGTTCTCACCCCTGCCTTCTGTCCCTTAACCCCTACCCCCACCCCACATGTCCCCTCCTCTTCCTCACAAGGCTGCCTAACTGGTCTCCCTGCCTAGACTCTCTCCAACCTATCCCACCAGACATGCCAGGATAATCTGCCTAAAGTCCAGCTCCAATTACATCTCTGCCCTGCTAGAAGGCTCTCACCAGTTCCCATGTTGGGTAGGCAGAGCTGGCTTCCTGGGCCTGGGACCTATGCACATAGGACCCTACTCTTAGGCCTTAGAAGGGCCTTGAGCTCGATTTATTTTATTTTTTTTAAAGATTTTATTTATTTATTCATGAGAGACAGAGAGAGAGAGAGGAGAGAGAGAGAGAGAGAGAGAGGCAGAGAGAGACACAGGCAGAGGGAGAAGCAGGCTCCATGCAGGGAGCCGGACGCGAGACCCGATCTCAGGGCTCCAAGATCGCGCCCCGGGCCAAAGGCAGGCACTAAACCACCGAGCCACCCAGGGAACCCTTGAGCTCGATTTAAAACTCTGCTGTTGGCAGGGGCAGCCTGGGTGGCTCAGTGATTTAGCCCCGCCTTCAGCCCAGGGTGTGATCCTGGAGACCTGGGATCAAGTCCCACATCCGGCTCCTTGTGTGGAGCCTGCTTCTCCCTCTGCTTCTCTCTCTGTGTCTCTCATGAATAAATAAATAAAATATTTTTAAAAAATAAAAATAGGGATCCCTGGGTGGCGCAGCGGTTTAGCGCCTGCCTTTGGCCCAGGGCGCGATCCTGGAGACCCGGGATCGAATCCCACGTCGGGCTCCCGGTGCATGGAGCCTGCTTCTCCCTCTGCCTGTGTCTCTGCCTCTCTCTCTCTGTCTCTCTGTGACTATCGTAAATAAAAATAAAAATAAAAAAAAAATAAAAATAAAAAAAAATTAAAAAATAAAAATAGAACTCTGCTGTTACCCTCTTGAAATTTTCACCAAGGAGGCCTTGCATTTTCATTTTGCACTGGGCCCCACAAATCTGGTAGCTGGTCCTGGTGGTAGGAAAAGTGTTGGCCTGTACTCAAAACTTTGCACAGTCTAGCCTCAACTTATCTTGCTACTATCCTCTCCAGCTAGATATCACTAATTGATACCTTCCCCTAATTCCTGCCCTGCCACCAAGCTCTCTCACCTCCAAGTTTTGCACCACCCTCTGCTTCCAGACGTAATATAACATACTTCAAGATTCAGTTCAAATGTCACTTTCTCAAATCCCCTAACCTACCTAGTTCTCCTCAAAGATTAATGATTGCCACACATATACCCCTCTTCAGTCTGCAAATTCTTTCATTCACAAATCTCTATGGAGCACCTGCTATGTGCAAGACATTGTTCTAGATTCCTCAAGTATACCAGTGAACAAAATAGACAAAGATCTCCACCCTGAGGAACTTATATCTCAGAGGAAGACAGACACCAAACAGAACAGTAAAGATTAAGGGCCATGGGAAATAAAAAGCAGTCAACTATGGGTGATAAGGATTGTAGGGTGAGTGGGAGGAATGAGTTGTAGTATTAAGGTTATCAGTGTAGGCCTCACCTGAAAGGGTGACACTTAAAGACTTAGAGAAGGCGAGGCAGTGAGCTCTGTGGCTATCTGGGGAAAGAGCTTCCTAGGCAGAGGGGATGGCCAGTGCAAAGGCCCTGAGGCAGAAGAACAAGAAGACCACTGGGACTAGAGCAAAAGGGGGGTGAGTAGTAGAAGAGGGCAGAGAGGTGTCATGGAGCCAGACCTGGTGGACCACTGCTTTGGCTTTCCCTTGGAATGGATGGGGAGCCACTGCAGTGACATGATCAGACTGGCTGCTGAGTTTAGAAGGGAGTAAAGGGGCAGGACAAGAGTAGAAGCCTGGGGTCTCCCTAAAAGGAGACTTTAAGGATAATTCAAGGGTGAGATAACAGTGGCTTGGAAAGGAGCAGCAGCAGTGGAAGTAGTGAGAAGTGGTTGGATTGGGGATATACTTGGAAGGCAGGGCTGACAGGATTTCTTGATGGATTGGCTGAGGGGACATGTGAGAGGGGAATTAAGGGTAATTCCAAACTTTCTTACTTGAACAAAACAAAACAAACACACACAAAAAAAATACAGGGGATGCTCAGTCCAGGCAGGCCACTCCTCAGGGTGGGAGGCAGGGTCCAGAATTGCTCTCTGACCAAGCGTCAGATGTCTGGGGTGAGGCAAGACCCATGTATGGCCTCTGACCTGCCACAGACCCTCCCATCTCCCAGAGCTTTATCCTATTTTTCTTGATGTCTCTGAATTTCCGTCATGTACTTTATCACCATTGCCAGACACCATATTGAATTTAGGACATTTCAGAAATGTTGGAGTGTGAAAAAAAATGTGCATTGTAGCATTCATGATGGACTAGAATGTTTATTACCAGTGCCTCTGTCCAACCACCCCAGGCCTGACATTACCATTACCATTCCCCCTTCTTGGTTTTGCTAACACTCATCGAGAGCTGTGTACCGTGGGGACACCATTAACATGAGCAGGAGGCACTGTTACTTCTCCCAGGTAACTAATAAGGAAGTCAAAGTGTAGAGAAGCTCAGTTCCTTACTGGAGGAGTGAGACTAGGGGAGTCAAGCTCAGGCTTCCTCGCTCTAGAGAGGAGACTAGGGTAGTGGGCATAACACATGCCCTGCTGCCAAGCTGCTTCTTAGTAGCTATGTGATTCTAGGCACTCTTCACCTCTCTCTGCCTTAATTTTTCCATATATTACCTATTATTTATTTTTTTAAAAAAATATTATATTTATTTATTCATAAGAGATACAAAGAGAGAAGCAGAGAGATAGGCAGAGGGAGAAGCAGGCTCCTCGTGGGAAGGGATCACAACCTGAGCTGAAGGCAGATGCTCAACCACTGAGCCACCCAGGTGCCCAATTTTCCCATATTTTAAATGGGGAGAATAAAAATACCTACTCCATAAGGTTAATTGGCTGAGGATATTAGTTAATATATGAAACATGCTTAGTGCCTAAGATGGCCGGCACTTTGTGTGGGCTGCTGTTATTAGAAGGCATGCTCTAGCCAGCCTCTCTGAGTCTCTCTCTTTTTTAAAAAAAGATTTTATTTATTTATTCATGAGACAGAGACAGAGAGAGAGAGAGAGGCAGAGACACAGGCAGAGGGAGAAGCAGACTCCATGCAGGGAGCCCAACGTGGGACTCAATCCCGGGTCTCCAGGATCACGCCCTTCACTGAAGATGGCGCTAAACAGCTGAGCCACCAGGGCTGCCCCCTGAGTCTCTTTTTAATTCTCTCTGTTATAACCTTCCCCACCTCCCTAGAGAACAGCACTGGACTAGAAGAAAGAGAGCCCATTCTGGTTGCAACTCTGTCACTAATGGATCACGTGAGCCATTAGGTAACTCCCCAACCTTGAGGGTTCAGGCTCCTTGTCTGTATGATGAGGGGGAGCTGGACTCACTGCTCTCTATGGGGTCATCTGTAATG